TCCGCCGGTAAGACAACACTTATGGTTAGGCTATTTGAGTCAATGGGTGAGCTTCCAACTGTCTAGACACCATGTCAGGTCAAAAACAACTCTCACAAAGTAGATTTCATCTTCCGATTTGTGATTTCCAGTTCTGTGTGTTAAGCCTCCGTTTGGAATTTGAGACTGCTTTTCTGTCGGTTCACCCTTGTTACTTTCATCGCAGTAGTTTGATGTTTGCGGTACGGCTTCAAAACGTCATAGCCCGTCATAAACATTGACAGTCCCTGTTGATAACCCAGAAGAGGTTCCGATACAGCGGTCACCTGGCGTGCCAAATGAGCAGTCGTTCACAAGAAATTTTGAAGGATTCAAGTATGGTGGGATAGTTCGCAGTCAGTTCATATGCACGAGGCTTCCCCCCTAGATAAAGTTTTGAGACCATTCAAAAAAAATGTTTCAAAGCTTATCGCTGAAGCGATACGTCGTTCTGCCGCGCGCAACATCGCGCATGGTACAGTATTTAGGTGTGTGGAATGACGTGATCCCATGACATCATTCCCCGTAATCAGTCAACAAATTTTCAAGTACGCCTAAAACACCATTTTTCAAAATAGTTTGGAGCAGGCTCTTGTCATTGCTTTCGGTGCTTCTTGGGACGCAAGGAATACAAGCCTATGGTGAGAGATTTCTCTGATCGTCGTAGATCCAACAGCGGCTATATTCTCAATCATTCACGTTCGCATTGACGCCGGCTGCAGACCACACCCTACATTGTTGATCGACCAGCGATGAAGGGCGAGAAAGGAAGCATTTCTATTTTGGTGGACAAGAGCGAGAGGTGTTCCGGCTTGTTTGACGCCCGTTTTAATGAAATGTTTTATGCTAATCTTTCACGTTGTGTGTCGTTATGCGAACATACCGTAGATTCACGGCCCTTTATAAAACATTTTATTCGTTAACACGCTACCGTTGACGCTGCTGGTTTGTTTCAACATAGGAGGTGTGGGGCATGTCTACGAAAACTCAGTTGTCCTTTCTCTCAAAAGTTTTTGCCAACAGTAGCCCTTTTAAAATTTGGAATTAGAAGCGGCTGGAGAACTGAGAATTCCTATTAGTTCGCTGCTTTTCCAATGTCTGCTTTTTCTAATGTCTAGATCACTTCGTGCCCATTGTTTTGACGTTCTCCATATTTGGGCATGATCGAGCAGCTTCTTCCCACATTTTAGACAGCATTTGCCTTGACACTTTGCCCAATTCATGAATAAACGCTATAATAGCATTCTGCACAAACAAGATCACAAGAATTGCCATGGAGAACCTTGTGCAAGGTTCGAGCTCAACGTGGTCCTCGACAGACCGTGGACCACTACGAAATTATCTGGATCACTAGTCGGGAGGTGTCTTGTTTGAGCTACTGTCCCTAGGAAGCAATCTATTAGTGAACCGATTGAAAAAAAAAATTTCGTAGCAGCTTCAGGCTGGAACGATTACGGTAGGCCTTCTTGAAACGGTGATGGAAGATGACGTCATATTTTGAAGACGTGAGGACAGTGGAGGAGAGGAGGCCTGCTTCTACCTATGGGGGGACACCTTGGGGATATTTCATCTTTATCTTTAACTTTATTTCATAAGTCAGTCAGCGTATGAAAGCAAAGGCAGAAAATAACTGGGCAACTTCAGCTTACATATGTAGTAACTTAGGAAAATTAAATAACACAAAAAGAACAACACGATTTTTTCCTAGAGCATCCTACTATATTTTGCCTTAAACCTTTCATAAACAGCGGCACACTGTGCGACGAAAAGTTTGGTGATGTGCGTCATGGGCAGAGTGGCTTTTTTGGCCACCCCTGTATATCAGATCGTCCTAGAGTCTCCTCAGCGAAATTTTTTTTCTATTTCCGCTCGAAGAATCGATTTGGCAAGTCATCAAATGTCACGACCCTGAAGGTTGCAGGAAATACAGTTGGACTACCTCGAACTGTTGAACTAATATCTGTATTTTCCTTAAAAATTCTTATTTTATCGATGCTTCCCGCGCGGCCGGGTTCGGCTAGGCGGACTTCTACTTGCCACGTGGCTATTCGGTCAGCTTATCCTACTATATATAATTCGCTAAGTATGTCTGTACGTGTGTATGTGTGTGTACGTCTGTTTGTAACGAAATTCGTAGCTCCGGTCACAGCAATGATAGCGCCATGGTTCTTACATATGTTATAGGGGGTGGGATGGGGACACAAGTGGTACGTGATAGGAACTGATAACGACTGATAATAGCTGATAAGAGGGGCTAGAAAGCGAGCATCGCCAATTTCGTTTTGCCGTTCATATTGGTAAAAGAGCGTCTATACTTACAAGTCTTATGTGGGGCGGTCCCGGGACATTGGTGGTACATGATTGGAAGCGATAGCAACTGATAATGGCTGATAAGATGCGCTAGAACGCAAAAGTCGTCAATTCTGTCAAGTAACTCCAGTTGACACTAGAGCGTCCATACTCGCAAGTGTCATGTGGGGTGGGACGGGGACATTGTTGGTAGGTGATTGAAAGTGGTACAACTGATAAAGGCTGATAAGGCGTGTCAGTCGTCAATTCCCTTACGTGGCTTGCGCTGACACTAGAGCGTCACTACTTAAAGTTCTATTTGTAGTGTGTACGTGCACATTGTATCATTGTATGACCAGCTTACTTAATAGCAGTCTATTGCATAAACTCAATCAAGTCAGCAAATGATAACTTTCATTTCCTATCAAGAAAGCCCAAACTCATTAAACCGCTAATCCTTTCGGGGTTCTAAATAATGGTGAATGTAAATAAATGATAAGCCTTAGCTCCTCACTTATGTAAATAGGCATATTTCATTTTAATTTTGAGACTGACAGCAATCCTATTCACCGCTAAATTATCTGAATTCAAGAAGAATGCTGGATGTTTACAGTTGTGAGATAAATATGCCAGTTCAGCTCCAGACGTTATCACGCGTATTCTCGATGGACTTCAGCGAAACTGGGAAAGGTCTAACACATTCAATAGTGAGGTGGTTAATGGAGTACCTCATGCTGATATTCCATGGGTCCTTTCAGTTTCGCTAAAGCCTGCCGTGTGATGCGCGCGATAGCGGGCGGAGCAAAACTGGTTTATTTTGTAATTTTCATAGCGCTATTTGGGTGGGATAGCAGCGTTTTCCTCAGCGCCTCTCTTTAAATAATGGTTTCTCGTATGTGTCTATTGGGCTTCACAGCCACAAAGCCTGACACTGTCTGGTGTTTTCAGTTGGACCCTCCCAAGCTTATAGGGTCTAGACTGGGCTAGCAGGCAGTCATATCTGCTCCCAATTAGGATGGGCCTAGCCTTAGTCCTGATTTTGATTCAAATTTCTTTAACTGGTCGCATAAGGGTATTGTATGGTCAACCGCGGTCTGAACAAGTCCGCATAGTGTTTGGGAGTAAGTCTCAACTCTAATTGGGTTATGTATTGTAGATGCTGACTCAACTTCTTCCTAATGCTCTGAAAAGTGGATCCTCACTCGGAAACGTGGCCATTTTCAACTCTGACCGGGCAAGTGCAGCTACACTCATTACCTCCCAGCACTTGTTCCTTGTCGCAGTGTTTGTGTTCGTGGCGCGGTTTGCAGAGGTTTGAAGGGTGCGCGCTATTGCAAGAACACAAATCGACTGCAAACATTCGTGTTTTTCTGTCGGTGTCGTTCAGTTGTCGCGCCCATTGATCACGCCCACAAGAGGATTCTGCCGTAGCAGCATACGGTGATTTGTCAGTTTGCCGTTAGTGCATGTTGTTCGTGGTTGCTGCTTGTTCGCCTGTACATATCGATCACACCTGTTCGGTTTTTGGCCACGCAGCTTAAAGTAGCCTTTAGAGCATACAATAGTTATCTGTGCTATTAAATTCAGATCGAAAATCGTTTCTCAAGACTGACTACCATTCGTGACATGATGCCACTACAGCTGATCCGTCGTTTGTCGTTTAGACATCGTAGGCATCACGAGAACGCGGAGAGGGTAAGTGCCCGGAAAATGAGGTCATTCTCCCTATGACGTCATTTAGGAGAACTCCACTATTGACTGCCTCCTTTTCAGAGCACCACCGCTACAATGCGTAAAGCGTCTTCATGTAAAGGGCTTGGACGCGGCGGAGAGAAGGGGGTGGGGCATGTGGAGGATAAACCCCGCCTACCTGACGATTTGCTCCTACGCATTGTCGACCAATGCGATGCCATTGAGCAATTCCGTCTGAGAGCTGTCAACAAAGCGGTGAAGAATCATGTCGACAAGACGATCAAGAAGGTGAAAATTTTTGAAGTATTTCTATCATATGACACATCTTTCAGATTTCATCATGTCAATATTTGATAATATGAAAGTTTCTTTATGCCACCAGTTTGAGCTATGACAAACAGCTTTTCCGTTTTACTCGTTTTTGACCAGGAAATCCTAAAATTCCCTGTTCCTTATAATTCAACCTAATCACATGCTCAGAAAATATATTTCTGCTTTTTTTTTCAAATTTTCGTTGCTTCCGTGACTTTGCAGGATCCACCCATTTTTCTCCCATTTTCCCGCAATGACTGCAGGAGTGGCTTTGATTCATACTAAATTAGCCAGGTGTAAGGCCCATTGACTATTCACTTCCTTGATTTTTTCCCTGGTGGAAGGCTGATAATAAGTAGCGAAGTGTTTATGCGGGGCCCGGAGTATATTGTCGAGGCAACGCATATGCACCACAGTTTTGTACAGGGGAGAAATTACCAGGGTGGCAAAAAGGAGTTAGTCTGCCCACGGCGCACATCATCGATCTTTCGATCTTTTTTGTGGCACATCGGCCATGGTGATGGAAACTTTACAGCAAAATATCCCTTAGCTATCGCTCCATAGGCAGAAGCAGGTCCTTCTTCACTGCCCTCACCGTCTTCAGAATATGACGTCATCTGCCATCACCGTCGAGCTCAAGGAGGCCTACCGTAATCGCTCCAGCCTGAAGCTGCTACATAATTTCTTCAATCGATTAACTGTGAATAGCTTCCTAGAGACAGTAGCTCTGACTATGCAAGACCCCTTCCGACCAGCGTTTTAGATAACTTCGTAATGGCCCACGATCCGTCGGAAACGCTGTTAAGTTCAAAGCATGCACCGTGGGAAAATCTTCTGATGCCGGCGACGTAGAAGGCTATTATGAAGTTTCCTCACAAAGTGAAATGTGCTGTTCAACTATCAGTCGTGTGTATTCGGATAATGATAATTCTCTAGGAAGCTTCCATCAGTTAATCGATTGAAGAAATTATGTAGCAGCTTTAGGCTTCGGCGAATACGATAAATTTTAAAAAGTGCGACGAGGGAAAAGATTTCTCAATATTGAACCTGACTTGCAAGTGCGAGTGAGGTACCAGCTTTGGTAAGGGCTAGCTGAATCAGTCAGGTGTTCACCAAGTCGACCTTCTGGTCTTAAAATCGTCCGAACGATAAATACTCTCACAAACATTGCGTATGCATGTCCACGAGTATCTTCGGAAGTACCCTATGTGGTCCTCGCAACTGCGCAGGATTACCGCTAGAGAAAAGAGAAAGATTTTCAGAACCTCCGTTACCTCTTTTCTTAACATGGAGCGGTAAGATATAGCTTGAATGGCCACGGCTATAGAAGCTTGATAAGGTAAATACCCGAAAGATTCTTCAGCTGATCAAATTACTACTACGGATCAAAAATGCAAGAGTCCGAGAGTATTGAAAAATTGATCTCATATGTTATTACAGTGCAAATAAAATCAAGATCAGTGAATGTTCTGCTCTAATTAAACTATTCAGATAACCCATCTGATTGTCGAGAAACGCGACATCGACACGGCGTCCGGTAGAGGTTGGTCACGTCATCGACATGCTCAAGTGTCGCTGAAGATGCGTCACAATACTGCAAAAATCGTAGTCGATTCGAGGTAATCCAGGCGGCCTCTCCATATGTAGCTGGTTGAAAGCACGTTTACCAGGATTACCGCTCTAATTAGGCACCTGATTCAGGTGGACTGCACGTGATGTGTCTACCGTGGTGGCCGCGATGAGCGTCTACCGCAAAACGATACTCGAGGCCACGATCGATGCGCCGATCGCTGAATTGGTCGGTGGTTCTTCAGATTACCTTTCTCGCTTCTTGAGATCTTTAGATGTGCGCAATGGATGGGCACTACTGCCGCTTAGTTATGTAACATTAGCCAACTTTTCCCTTTTATCCCATCCAAAGAAGATGATGCTGCCAAATTCTTTCATTTCGGCTATTCGTCAGGCTGACGAGACAACTCAAATAAAGACGGGAACTATTCGGTCGTGCTATAATATCTAATGGACTACAGCCTTTGGTCAAGTCTACAGGGTGCGCCAAAATTACGGCGACAGCGATTTCGAGTCGCCTAGAATGAACATGCCACAATTCCAAGAAGCCAAAAATGCAGTAACGTTCACTGTTCAATAATGAATCGTAAACATCTGCCAAATCTCAGAAATTCCTTCGTTGGCACTTATACGGGCCTTGAGAAGCAGTGAGGAACCATCGACGGTGGCACGCAAGGTGGTGCGTGGAACCCGTCCTACGTATTCTGAAGCAATTCTTCAAAATAATCCCCAAAAATGTAAAGTTCCATGCAAGCTTTCAGCTTACAGAATCAATTCTACAGTGTAAGCCATTTATATTGAATCTGAAATGCTGACCAACTCGTTGAAAGTGATGAATTCGACAAAATTGGCTCTGCACCAGTTCTGCACCACCCTTGCCTTATGGGAATCCCTTCCTTATGAAAGATCCAACAAAGGTGACACAAAGGGGCAGTGGTGCCTTATCAACGGCTTGACAAGGCGGTTGAAACCCACTTCCGGTTTGCCGTTGTATCTTTGTATCATACGTGGAAGAGGATCCAGTAGCAACGTGCTAACAAGCAGCCGTGTCTTCTTATCTAATCGTATCGTATCTTCCATAGCGTTACGCTCGTCCAACCACTGTCTATCTCCGACCTTATCGGTTGATAACGCGAAGTTCGCCGATCCACGTGGAAGCCAGCGTGATCGCTTCCTTTAAAGGAAGCAGTCACGCTGGCTTCCACGCTGGATTTGCTACCCTCGCGTTATCAATCGATAAGGTGTGAGGCAGTAATTGTTGGACGAGTGTAAGCCCATGGAAGATATGATACGATGAGATAAGAAGGTGCGGCTGCTTGATAAGAGGTGCACTCCAGAATGAAAACGGGACGATAACGATAACGGTATCATATCTAGCACGCTCTTATCGCACCCCTTTCCACATCGATAAGTCTTGGTTTTTGCTGAACGGAAGTGGATTTCGGCGCCTTATCACTCCGTTGATAAGGCGCCACTGCCACTGAAACTTCACGTGTTCTAACATTGGGCAGGACCTCTATCCACTCCAATACATAGCTTTCCTTATCGTTGCCATGAAAATTATCGTGATTGCTTCCTTTAATCAGAAGTTCAACGATATTAGATTACTGGATCAAAAGGTCGTGACATCCATATCTGTTTCAGCTGGTCGTCTCGTTATCAGCTCTTGATTTAAATCGATGGTACGCTTTCCAATGCTTTATGAAGGCTATGGATGTATTTGACGAGGACATGCACATGGACTGCGATTTTGTGAACCTCGGACAGGTCCGTGACCGAATACGGGTCTCGATTTTTTGGATGGAAAGCTTACTGCACGTATGAATAACAAAATCTCATTGATTTCCAGGTTTACTGGCCCAATATTCAAAATCTCACCGTCCGCACCACCGAACAGCAAGCGCCACACTTGGCCAGGTAAAAGCTTCTATACTCATGAATTAAGCAAGATACATTCTAGAAAGCGCCCAACATTTAAAAGCAAGCATTCATTTCTCTGTTCAGAGTAATCGACTACGGTGTGCAGTGCAATTGGGTGTTGGATCGTAGAAATCTCTGTCGACTAAGAATTATTTTCACTGATTTGGCCGCCACTCCTTCTCGTAAGGTCTCACGGCATCTCTACCACTTCAGGTTCGACAGGCTTAGATTTAAGCTATCCCGGCAAGCACTTATAACTACGTTCATTTCCAGGTGCTGGGCAGGTTCAGCTGGCTTTGACCACCGCTATGAACAGCAGTTTGGCGCTGCCAAAGCGCAGAGCGTCATGATCTAGATGCACTCATCTATCTAACGTATTGCGCATGGTCTGCTCCTCTTTCCCTCGCTCTCCCTCTTTTGAAAACATCTGAAGTCATACTAGCGCTTTATTGCCTCCATTATAAAGTATCAAAGTATTATTGTTAGAAGAAGGAATCACTCGGTCTGAGAGTTCTCAAATCACGCATATAAATCTTTGAAACTTCCCACTGGTATTCATTCACTTTTGATATCGTTATATCGTATTCTCAATTTATTCTAGGATGATAAGAAGTCTTTCACACGATATTGGTGACCCTATTTCCGTCGTTTGACTGCAGTAATCACTGAGACGAGTTACATTTGTAATAGACATATTTTTGTATTATTTTGGCGCATGTTTCTTTAGTGAGTCCGCTAACGACGATATGTTCTGAGCTATTCATTGAATAAAGTTTCCAAACGGTGAGTGTGATGTCTCAGAAGTTTCGCATGAGTCGAGAACGCCAACAGAGATGCCTCTGCCTTGGTTTGGTGCATTCCACAAATTCTCCAGTGAATCATCAAGCCAGTACTATTCCAGTTCCGTTAGTGGTACTGTTGACACTTCAAACGATCATTGTCCACTGGTAGTCACTGTCCCAAAAACAGCACTGAGCAAATGCACTGAAAACGTCTGGGTCAATTCTGGTGGTGGGGAGGGATGTCAGATTAGTTATGAGAGGACGGGATAGGAGCGTTGATCAGCTCTCTTGTGAAGCCCCGGTCCTACAAGTTGCATCATGCAGATATGCGTAAATACATAACTAAATGCGCAACTGATTCGCAATGACCCCAGGGGATGAAATTGAGGCGCGGAAGGCTCCTTTAGTCAGTTTAGGTCCAAATCAGTGGCTTCTATAAAACCATACAGATGTAGGGAATAATTTCCCCATTGCTTTCATTGCCGGGCATCGCGCCAAACTGCTGTTCATACGGTGTTCAAGCCAGCGTAACTGCCAGCACCTGGAAATGAACTATTATACTAGGCTTGCCCGTGATAGCTTAAATCTAAGCCTGTCGAACCTGAAGTGGTAGAGATGCCGTGAGACCTTACGAGAAGGAGTGGCGGCCAAATCAGTGAAAATAATTCTTAGTCGACAGAGATTTCTACGATCCAACACCCAATTTGCACTGCACACCGTAGTCGATTACTCTGAACAGAGAAATGAATGCTTGCTTTTAAATGTTGGGCGCTTTCTAGAATGTATCTTGCTTAATTCATGAGTATAGAAGCTTTTACCTGGCCAAGTTGCGCGATGCTGCTTCGGTTGTGCGGGACGGTCGAGCTTATTGGATATTGGGCCAGTAAACCTGGAAATCAATGAGATTTTGTTATTCATACGTGCAGTAAGCTTTCCATCCAAAAAATCGAGACCCGTATTCGGTCACGGACCTGTCCGAGGTTCACAAAATCGCAGTCCATGTGCATGTCCTCGTCAAATACATCCATAGCCTTCATAAAAGCATTGGAAAGCGTACCATCGATTTAAATCAAGAGCTGATAACGAGACGACCAGCTGAAACAGATATGGATGTCACGACCTTTTGATCCAGTAATCTAATATCGTTGAACTTCTGATTAAAGGAAGCAGTCACGATAATTTTCATGGCAACGATAAGGAAAGCTATGTATTGGAGTGGATAGAGGTCCTGCCCAATGTTAGAACACGTAAAGTTTCAGTGGCAGTGGCCCTTATCAATGAAGTGATAAGGAGCCTAAATT